AGTGGCAATTAATGGTCAATTCCCCACGTGTCTATCCTTTCTCTTTCCACCTTGACTTTCTCCTTTTAGGATCTCTAGCAACTTTTCCCAAACACCATTTGAGATCTTATGTTAAATTCTTAGATTCCTATAGGTATATATTAATGACCCCTTCATTCATCTCAAATATTTGCGACTTTTATTCAACCCAACAATTTTCTTGCTAAACAAAAGCTCTTCTGTCCATTCTTTGGAAGTAGACAAATAACATAGTAATGTCAGAGAGCAGTTGTAAAAAACTGAAGAAGTGTTTTGAAAAACTGAGGAGAAAAATGTCACAGAAATTTCAAGTTAATAGAACTTCAAATCCCAGCAGTGCTTCAGGGAGAAAAACACATCCCAAAGTTCTACAAATAACAACAGAAGGCCAATATGTGGTGAAGTGGCAGATGGAATATGAAAGCCGACTCGAAGGCCTCTCTGATTACATCCTGCAGGAAGACCACCCAAAATGACACGGCAAGAAGGTTAAAGTCCTGGTACACATGCCTCTTTCTCTACTACAAAACTAAGCATAACAGAGTTAGTACAATTGCATCAGCCTTTCAGCTTATCCTTTCCTTCTAGTGTGTGGCAGCTCTAAGACTTAACCCAAAATAATCTAGCAATACCCATGAGTTTTAAATAGTAGGAGGCAACTTCTAGAAATTGAAAATATGTAAATTAAGTGGCATCTCATATTCCAAAGGTACAAACAAATGAATTGGAATTACTGGAATTCTTAAATTATCCCTAGAAACCCAGTTTCTTCCCTTGTAATAGCAAAAATGACCAAGACTTAGATGCATCTTTCTTTTGTACTAGAATTGGGTACAGTGAGAAAATACAGCCCTAAGGCGAAAATATCAAGTGAAAAGAGTTGCTGAATTCCCAGTCTCAACTTTTTTAGAAAGCGATTTAAAAAAAAAAATCAGGTTGATCATGAGCAAATAAAAGATGGAGTTCTTTCATTTACAGGGTATTTACGTGCTACTCAGCAACAGTGTGCCAGGCTGAAGCAGCAGTGCCAGAAAGGAAAGACATGGCCATGACGGGTTTTAGAGCAGAGGGCTTTCAATTCCGCTTAAAACTGTGGTTTGAGGGATCCCTGGGTGGCGCAGCGGTTTAACGCCTGCCTTTGGCCCAGGGCGCGATCCTGGAGACCCGGGATCGAATCCCACGTCGGGCTCCTGGTGCATGGAGCCTGCTTCTCCCTCTGCCTGTGTCTCTGCCTCTCTCTCTCTCTCACTGTGTGCCTATCATAAATAAATAAAAATTAAAACAAACAAACAAACAAAAAAAAAACTGTGGTTTGATTTAAAAATAGAATGATGTAATTAGTTCAGGTAGCCGGCTCTCTTAATAATTGACATTTCTACAGCCGGTTATGTAACTGCCACTAACTAGTTCTGGGAGCTTAGTTGAGTCACCTCATTTGAGGGCCTTCTGTTCTTCAGGTTGAAGGTAAATGGGTTTAACTGCCTGTTCACTGAAGTCTTTTCTGGCTCTCACAACCTAAAATTCTAAGACTTTTTTCATGTACTACCTCTGTCTTAGTCCGTGTGGGCTGCTGTAGCAAAGTACCTCGGACGAAGCAGCTTATACACAACAGTGATGTATTTCTTCCAAAGGCTGGGAACCTGGATGAGGGGGCCAGCTTGGTCACGGGAGGAATCACTTCTGGATGACACGCTGCTCACTGTATTCACCTGGAGGGAGGGGTAAGAGAATTCTTTGGTGCCTCTCTTATCAGAGTGTTAATCCCACTCATGAGGGATCTGCCCTCAAGAACTAATCATTGCCCTGATCCCCCACCTCCTACTAACATAATCTATGGGCACATGAATTTTGGGGGGACGGCAATTTCCTTCAATCTTCTTACCTGCAGTGTGAGAGGTAGAGAATGTGATTTGGGGAAAATGGAATAGCTAGACAAATGCCAAGGCGGATGAGAAACTTCATCTCTGGACTTGGGTTCAGAGCCTGAGCACTCACATGACACAAGATATGTGAGCACAGGACACCACGGGGACAGGCTTGCTAGCTTTGTGACCCGGACAAGTGATTTCATACCTCTGAGCCCTGCTTTTCTTAACTATACAGCTGGAATATAACCATGCACATCCATATGATGTTTAAAAGTAAAATCCTTATAGCTAAATTTATCCTTAATAAAGGAATTAGGCAATATGTAATTATGTGGTTATGTAGTGACAATTTTAACAAGACGATCAAATTTCCTGCCAGTTTGCACCTTGTCTAGGACTCAAGATTTTTTTTTTTATAGCTGATACCCGAATGTGCCATACCCATGTCTCTCAACAGAACAGGGTTGTGCTTTCTTCTAAGATCAGAACTAGAGCATCAGGGTCTTCTAGATATGGCCATTTTAACCAAATGACCTATGAAGCAGAGAGAATGGGCTGTGCTTGGGCTATTTCCTGACACTTATCTATAGTCCATAAATAAAACAAAAATTACGTCATCTTTTTCGGAAAGTGGCAAATCTGATGTTATAGGCAACCCTTAATGTCATTATAACTATTACAAATTGATGATGTGTCTCTTTGACTCTTAATCTCCACCTTTTTTAAAAATTTTTTCAATCTCCACCTTTTAAAAACTTTTTCCAATTTCTGTTAAAATCCACGAGAGCATCAAGTATTGTTGCTATAGAAGATGTAAAAAAGGCTTATACGACACATTTGTTATCAATGCTTTATTGTTGAAAACAAAATTGAAATTCTCTGGCACATAAAACAATTATTTCTACAAAAGGAAAGCCTACAAATCTTGATAATTTATACAAATAACAGTTTCTCAAAAAATAAAACTTTAATTTAGTAAACTTGTCTTGTGCTCTATATTTTTAGCACTGTCTGCAATAATCCACCATAAATCCCTGAGCGGAGACATTTTTTGACCGTGTTCTTTAGCGCCCCCCCCACCCCCCCAAGTTGGTCAGTTACTAATAAGCCAGCCCTGTAGTGAAAGGTGTCAGGGTCATTTAGCTATTAAAGATCCATGCATTTTATGACACAGGCCCAATTATTAATGCTACTTGGGAACTGGGTCAACATGAAGTGCCTCTACTGTGTGCAATCAGCGAACCTATTAAGAACCAAGTGTCTGAAAGGAAGAACATTAACAACAAAAAAGACATAAAATGTTAAGACTAGGAAGTCATCATAGGTCAATAACTATTTAAATAAATAAAAAATGTTAGACATTGAATTTATCTCTATATCCTTATATTAAATTCCTTATTTATTTACTTATTATTATTATTATTTTTTTTAGCAATTGCCAATGTGCTAGAAGATGAAAAATACACTTCAACCCACACTTTTGGTTTGACCACGGGTTTGTTGTTGTTAAACGTTAAATATCATTCTGAAAACACAGTGATTTAGTTATAATTTAACTTTTGGCCCTTCCATGAAATGTTTACAAGGTAATATACATATTAGGAGGGCCTTTCTTATTAATGCCATCAACAAACTTCTTTCACTACTTCTGGCCTTCTCACAAAAACACTACTGCCATAGGAATACTACTTTAAATTCTTTATCCCACTTTATTCGGATATGTAGCAACACATATAAGATATGGAGAAAACATAATATGATCCACTTGTATGGCATACAAGTCCAGCTTCCTTTCAGTGGGGATGCTGGTCTGATATTTACAGGAAGTATTAAAGGAAAGAAGAAGAAGCTAATTTTCAGTTCCAAAGAACTGAACTTCATGAATCAGGCGTTTGGTTATTTTACTATGGTAGAATAATAAATAAATAAATATGTAGGGTACAGTCTAGCTACTTTCTCTATGAAGAAGTTGATAGTGAACTGCTTTTTGGCAAAGTTAATATTTAGTAGCAGAGTTTGCAAGTCAAAATAATGTTCAATAAAATGCTTTACTTCATTTTCCCTTGTATCATGATCACTGGAGTGGTTACTAAGTGGTAGAGAAATAAAATATCAATATGCTAGTGAAGGATAGTTTTCAACTGTGAAAAAAAGCACTTGGCAAAAGACCTAGAAATACACAGGCTGATGCTGTACTCCACTGCAGCTTAAAAGAAGTCATTTTCAACGTCTTTTAGGAAGAGCAAAATACAGTAAAAATAATTCCTTAAAAACATCAGCATTGCTGTTTAGGAACCTATCAGAAAGTAATTAGCATTTTATACCAACTCTTTCCAAAATATACAATCACTGGCAGCCGTTATTATACACTCCTTTGTGCAGACTTGATTTTTTAATCAGTAACATCTGGGAAGCACGTAGCATCTTCCCTTTTGTCTAATAGCTGCTGGTTAGTTATGGAACTAGAACACTTTTAAGCTCTTTAGATTTAATCCTTATATAAGCATGCGCATTAACCAGGAATAGCCATTTCCAAAGCCTAAGCATTAATATAATTAATTCTCCTAGGCAGTTTGGGGGAAAATGTTGGTGACATTAAAATTAAAAAAAAAAAAAAATGACTGCCTGACACGGATAAGGTCTCCCCAACCCCTCCTGCAACACCAGTGTGAAGCACGGTTAGCTCAGCTCACATGAGAAGCAAACGTTGTCCAAAAGAAATGAAGACTGTGACATCCAAATCATAAAATGTTATGTGCATTAATCAAGAAACAACTATAGATTGACAGATCCTGATATACTAAAAAAAAAAAAAAAAAAAAAAAAAAAATTCCCTCTAAGTTTCAGAAATTGATAAGCAGGCTGTCCCAAAGAGGGAAGACAGCAGCGTCAGGACAACCGGCCAGCTCACTGGGATTCACACACCACACTTTAATCATTCCCTATTAACACTTGATCTTAATTGTTTATCAGGGCTGAATGGACACTCTGACTTCCTCTCACAGTGTTTAAGGAACAATATAATTTCTAAATTAGCTTTCAAAAATGAACAAAATTTGTAACTTGGATTCCCTCCCTGCCCCCACCCCCCTCCCACCCCCCAATGCCATAAGATCCTGTTTTAAGTGCTCTGGTTTATAGTTCTATGGGTAACAATTACATCCTTCAGGAAGTTTCCAATGTTCCCCTTTTTGGTGTTAACGGCTGTGCCAACAGCAAAGCGAATACTCCCAGAAGTGGCAGTGACCTCAGTGACCTCTGCCCCCGTCCTGAAGTCCTTACTAGCTCTTGTCATAGCACTGCTGGTAAGTTCTGTTCATTAATGAAGCCAGCTTTAAAATATGGAGGAGGACGAGGTACTGCCCTCCTGTGTCAGGTCTTGGAAGTCTTTAAACCTTGCTTTTCCATGATATTCCACAGTTTGCGGAGATTGGACTGCGTGATGACGTCATCAGGCTTGAGCTGCAGAGCCCTCAGGTAGTTGGCCTCAGCCTTCTGGAGGCGCCCATTGAGATGGAGAATAGCCCCCAGGTTCATCAGAGCCGCCGGATACTGGAAACAGAGAGGGAGGAAAATGATTAAGAGGCTTGTTCCAAGCCTTCCTTCCTTCATGGAAGACAAAAATCTTCATCCACTTATGCAAATGATTCCCTTATGTCTGGAGGCATTTTATGGAAGCAATTTAGCAATTTATACAAATAGACCAAGATAACTAGAAAGAAAAAAAAAAGTTTTCAAACAGCTGGTGTACTTTGTGCTTTAAACAGGGCAGGCAGCTAGAAAAATATTCTTCAGTGAGAAAGCATGGGTTACATACAAAAACCTAGCAACCAAGTCAGACTGTACTTTTCGAAGAAAAATAAGTGAGAAGTCCTACACTGTCAGAAAGAACTGAACTTTCTTTTTTCAACTCAATGCCAAGAAATACTAAGTTGGAGAAGTTGACAAATCTACGTCCACCCACTCTTTGTTTCCTCTTCTTAGCAATATTCCAGGCCATTTAGGCAAACATAAGTAAATAAGTTAAGAAACTGTAAAATCTTACTGATGTTTTCAGGGTAAAAACCCTGAAGAAAAATTCAAATGTAACCGCTAACATCCTTTCCAAATCTAATCCAAGTAGCTTAATGAGACAAAGTTCTCATTTTTAAGTCAATTTTTAAACTTCTAATGGCAAATATTTATTATAAATACAGCAAATAAAAACATACCGAAACAGATAAAATGTAGTACAGAAAAATATAACCTCTGTAAGAAAAGTTCTATATTATTTGTTTAAAAGTAGTTGTGATTTCTTGAACACAGATTTTTTTTTTTGTGATGTGTGATATTTGCAAAACAAACTTATCACATGAACGGCCAAGTTAAAAAACAAATTTATGAGTTATGTACCACTAGCTTAACACAAGGGTCTCCAGCCCAAAATTCTCAGACATTAGTTAACAACAGCAGAAGTCTGTTGTTCCTTGCTATCTACAATATGTTCCTTGCTATCTACAAATAAAGGCTGTTCTGCTCTTCTCTTGTTGCTAGAACTTTCTGGCTAACTCAGAACAGCTAATATTTTGGCAGTTATACAAATGCATATTTCAAATATCAGATAAAACTAAAAATGTTTATGCTAAGATTGTGTTTTTGTTTTACAGATGGTGTCAACTGTTAATTGTCCTGGCAACTCTGATGCAGTGTAAAATAATTCACAATTATTTTTAAAATTTACTATTTTCACAAAATGTGTGCATTTTTCAGCTGAGTCCATGTGACTCCACTCTTTTCTGTAAAAACAATTACTTCTGAACCAAAACAATGCTGAGGGCAGGATTGAATAGCTCAGAGTAAACCAACTGTAAAGAGATGATCAGATTTGGATTTTAAGAGGTCTGGATTTGAATTCTTGCTCAACCACTGACTGTGACCTTGGGTGAGGTCCCCTATCATATTTTTCCTCCTTTTTTTTTTTTCTACTTGAGGTATATAGCATATGCATGCTTGTGATTTTTATGCTGTTATACATACTTTAAAATTTTTATTTCAATGGCTACGTAATACGTCTCTGGATGTAGAGCAAAATTCTCTTAAGTCCTCAACTATGGGGTATTATTTTCAAACCTGTCTACATCCTTTTTTCTTTTCCAAAAATAATGTTGCAAATATAAGCTATTCCTGACCTTCAAAAAGCTTTTGGTCAGGATGACTCCATACTTATCAAGAAAAATACAGATGATCAATTTCTAATTTTAAGCCCCAATCCAAATAAACATAGCTCTAAATGACATGTACAATGAAGCTCCACCCTGGAAACCTAAAATAACACCACCTACTCTATGTTCCTAAAAGGACTTTGTTATCATTCCACCCATTACTATCTTGGGTTTCTTGATGCCTAGACACATTTCTGAATTATATTCCCTCATAGAGCTTAGCACAATGATCAGTAAACAGCTACTAAATGGATGGCAAAGTGTGTTCACAGCCTGAATTACTAGAGATGCTAAATAGATAAAATATTCAGACTTCCGCTATCCTGGGTGGGAGGAGAGGATATGGGGAGGGAGGACCACGGTTGGAGACCATTCCTGGCTCACCATAAATAGAAGAGGCCCAGTGATGGGGGCTGAGAGAAACCAGATGGCTCTGTGGGATAGTCATTATTTCTTGAATCACTTTATTATCAAAGTATCTGTGCTTAACTATAATTACAATTCAAAGGGATTATTAAAAACCCTCCAAAGTTACAGAGTCACAATGTCTAGGTACCAGTGTCAGTTCTGCCCAAGATGTGAGCACTTGGACAAGTTGATTGAACACTTGAGACCTCTGTTTATTTTTTTAAGATTTAATTGATTTATTTAAGAGAAGGGAGCCTGATTTGAGGCTGGATCCCTGAGATTATGACCTGAGCTGAAGGTGGACACTTAACTGACTGAGCCACCCAGGAGCTCCGAGACCTGTTTTTTCTAGAAATGGGATGAGAACAGTATTTGCTTCATAGATTTGCTGCTGAGATTATATGAGACTACAACTTTGTTATTGTCCTTTTCTTCTTTTCTTTCTCCTTATCATCTCAAAAACACAAAGGAAAAATCTCCTATCAGTAGGCCTGAGTGACCACTGAATGTAAGCACTGTGGATCTGTGACCTGGCTCTACCTTTCTAGCATTGTGGCCTTTTCTCAGGCTAAACCTGGAAGGAGGAGATGTGAAAACACGTGGTAAAGTATGCCCAGCCACATAAATAGGCTTTACTATTGTTACTGAATGCAGCGCGGGTTCTTCTGTCCTTGGAATACTTTGAAGACACTTTCCTGCCATCAAATGATGAAAAAAGAAAAGTGGATATTGTTCTAAAAAAAACCCCACACAATTAGGAAGTTAAATCTGTCATCAAAATGAGTTCTGAATGCTAATTATAACAGCATTTTTGGAATTACTTTAGTTTCGTATTATCTACCCTTGTATGTAACTCATTAAACAAAAAATAATCAAAAATTGACATTATGAAGTTAAAATGGGATAACAGATCCCATAAAAGTTCACATATATTCATTAGCTGTGTTCTTTAGAATAAAAATCCAACTGAACTAAAAATGTATTTAAGACATAATACATATTTTTGAAGATTTTTATTTTATTTTATTTATTCATGACAGACACAGAAAGGGAGGCAGAGGGAGAAGCAGAAAGAGAAGCAGGCTCCATGCAGGGAGCCCAATGTGGGACTCGATCCCCAGACCCCAGGATCACACACTGAGCCAAAGGCAGATGCTCAACCACTGAGCCACACAGGTGCCCCCAAAACATAATATTTTTAAACCTCTAGAGATTTCTATGTTTGGATGTAACATTTTGGTTTGATATTGTCTAATCCTCCTATCGTAAAAATAAAAAAAAAAGTTTTTTATTTTAAAAACCTACAAACATACATTATTATGGAATGCTTTTCAAAACCTCACTATAGTTTCTTATTTGAGTGAGTGGAAACTGAGGAAATTTGCACGTATGCTCAAACGTAACCTAATTAACAGGTACCACTGCCTTAGGTAACTTAAAGTGTCAACAGTTATTTTGACATAAACAATTTCATGTGTTTGTTAAAAATTTACGAATAAAACTAGATATAGACTATTTTGCTATATGGTTGTTTTTTCTCTTCATAGACAAGCCTTCCCAGCAGTGACCAGGGGGTAGCTTACTGGATGCCCAAGGGACTGAGTGCCTGCAGGTCCCCTAGCCTTGCCTCTAGCTCAGGGAGCGACACAAGCATTCTCTGGAAGCTTGGTAGAAATGTGGAATTTCAAGTGTTAAATGAGAGAATCAGAATCTGAATTTTAACAAGATCCCCAGGGGGTTTTGTACGCTCATTACAAGGGAGAAGCACTGTCCTAGAGGTTTTTTCCTGATCTTGGATCATATTATTTTCCAACTTTTGAGTTTCCTACAGGAGGATGAAGTCCTGTATTGAACAAAGAATGTCAGATCAAATGCCTATTCTCCCACAAAGTCAATTCTTTTGGCCACGCAGTTATTTATAGTAAATGTTCAAATGAAACTTTATTAACAGAAATTGTAAATGACTAAATTTGACAGGAGAGGACATAAAAAGCCTTTTCATAACCAAATGGGGCCATGCAAAAGTTTTTAAACAGAATTAAAGACTACCTAGCTCTGTCACTGAAATGCAAGAAACCCAGGTGACTGTCTGAAGCCACACTGGTGTCCTTGCTCTGTGCCCCCTGTGACTCATTGGCAAAGGAAGAGAAACCCAACCACAGCGGCTGATGTCTTCCCTCACACACACATTCTCTTTTATTAAAGACAGCTGATGAAATTTTCAGCATGTTAACAAAAGACAGTCTGCAGCTTGCAACCCAGTAAAATGGAGCTTGTGGCTCCGCACAACCAATGATACCGCCTCCCACTTCACAGCCCAGAGACGAGAAGCAGATCTTTCTTGTTTCTTTGAAGAGGACAGATGCTTCACATCCAAGGGGCTGACTGGTAACCCTACTGCGGTAACAAATGACGTTTTTTTCAAGTCTCTAAGGAATTATGACTTTATTGTTATTGGACTGTGGTATTTGGCTTCTTTCTCCAACACTGGAGGAAATAAGTAAAATTCAAATAATAGGTATATATTGGGGTGGAGTAATAAGCAAAGGCAAGTTTATGCAGGTCTGATTCTAACCTAACACCTTTGAGGCTCCCAGGGAAATCAGCTGGGCTCACTGGACATCCCAAGCACACAGGATTAGAAGACAAAGTTATTTTCCTGGCCTTTGCCTGGAAAGATACCTATGGAGGAGGAATCGTAAAGCCACAGGGGGAGTTAGGATTGGGCACTCATGTTTCCATTGAGAACAGGACTAAAATGTAGAACTCTGGACAGAGGATTTGGGGAGAGCCTAGGAAAAGGAAAAGGGATTGGCTGAAATGGTCTTGTTAGGCAGGAGTTGGAAATCCACACAGTGTTTGGGTTTTCTTATCCCATTAGTCCTTGTGAAGCACTTCTGTTTTGTGAAGGTAAATCAATAGGCAACAGAAGCTTTGAAAAAA